TTGTCTGTAGCATCTGAACCACGGCAGACGGAAACTTGGGACTGGCGCCAGGTTGTAGAGCGACATCTGTCGTATGTCTGCATGCGTTTAGAACAGTGCTTTGCTGTGTATATTTTTGGAACGTCAGGCAAATTTGCTTTCTAAAGATACACCACGGTAGACCTGATCGGAGGTCCTACTTTCCATAGATTTACTTCCCAAAGTACCCTCTTTCGAGTACTGGAAATCCCATCATTCTGTTTTTTTCCCTTCAAAAGTTATTCAAAAACTAACCGTGACCACTGTTTTATTCTTTCACTAGATAATAGTTAAAATATTCCATTATTTTATAGGTTCGTCTTTTGCGACTTTGTTATCGTTGCTACATCGTCAAGTCATAGGTGCCACAGTGACAACATGGAATGAAGAATTGGAAACTCCTTTTGTTTACATGAAAGAACAGAGTTCAGCCGGTGACGTTAGCACTGTGGATGTTATTTCACCAGCATCACCCTTCTACTTATATTTGGCACCGGAAACATTGAGACTGATGCTCTTGCCTCTCTTAGAATATTCAGCCAACCTTACATACATCCGATATAATCTTCCATGGGCTCCCCATCATTTAGGTGACTGGCCAGTATGCAATATTCTCCCCGAAGAACAAGAGCAAATGCCCATGGAAGAAACGGGGAATATGCTAATTATGTTGGCAGCTATTGCCCAGCGACAACAGGGGCAAGTAGAATATTTGAACAAATATTCTGATCTACTTCAAATATGGGCAAACTACTTGAACGAATCACTACCAGATCCAGAAAATCAACTTTGCACTGATGATTTTGTAAGTACGCTCGACTGATTTCTGTCCTAAAAGAAGTATCGAGAACTTAATATTCTCGTTAATATCGAAATATTTTTGATTAAGATCTCCATTAGATCGATGCGACCGAGTTAACGTAGCACAGGATATTCTATCAGATCCTATAGCAATAGAAAATTTCTGTTACTAGATGGTTTCAAAACATTTTTAGAATTGTGTTTAATTTTCCACACTATTTTACTCTAATAGTTGAACCGTTCATATAATTAAGACCTTTCGTTGTTTTTACAGGAAGGTCCTTCCCCTCACAACGCTAATTTGGCTATGAAAGGGATTATTGGTTTAGGTGCCTATTCGATAATATTGAAATATCAAGGTGACGTTAGTAGATCCGAATATTATTTGTCTCAAGCTGTAGCCTATGCTTATCAATGGATTGATCTGGCTAAAGATGTCGAAGATGTTCATGATTTGCCTCATTTTCGTCTTGAATATGATAAAAATGGAACATGGTCAATGAAATATAATTTATTCTGGCAGTATGTACTGGATCTTAATATATTTCCCGATGCAGTAAGACAAATAGAACTCGCCTATTACCAAACCAAATCGAATAAATTTGGTGTGCCGTTAGATTCACGTGGAACATTAGCCAAATGTGATTCAACACTATGGATAGCGTCAATGTACGATCTTCATAGTGAACAACAGCAAATGATGTTGAATCATATTTATCAGTTTGCTCATGAGACACCAACAAGAATTCCCATTTCGGATGTTTATGACACATCGAATAATGAAGCCATATTCTTTACAGCGCGACCAGTCATGGGTGGATTACATTCTATTGCATTGCTCAATCAGCAAAAGGTACAAAAAATGATGACTGATATCGTGAAGGTAAGATCAAATTACGATGTTATATGATAGTTATCGTGCGTTAGGAATCATGCTTCCCAATAAAGCATGTTATAAAATTATCTTTGATTCATCCATTGTCGATAACGCCAAAAATGTTTGAATTTTAAGCATTTTAGACGAGTTAATAGTTGAGATATATTTTTGACATAATAACATTCATATGAACGAAATAAACAGCAGTATAAACAATATCTCAGATGATTAGATCACTATATAAATATAATAATCAATAATCGTTCTTAATCATTATTTTTCATATTGTAGAAAATACGTCATTTTGGTTGGAACATATTATTATAACAGAGTCATTTCAAAATCTTGTAAATAGATTAATAACTTCTAATTATTTATTATTCTACATAGCAAAAATGATTGATTCATATGATGAACGATAAGAACGCAAATATTTTATCAACAATTGACAGCCGTTTTATAATCAAATTTTTCTCATTTATTCTCTTCATCGAATTATTGCCTAGATATTGAGTAGTAACGTTCTATGTAGTCGAATAAGACAAAACATCTTATTTGATTTTCTGTTACTATAAACTGCATGTTTTATTCCAGATACAAGAGAACTTCTCAGATGAAAAATATCAACATAAACAACGACTGTGAACTGTATTTACTACGCATACTCTCTTGTCTGTTGACTTTCTGTTTCAAAATAAAACTAGTTTTAGTGAATTGATAGATAATCTTCATGTCCAGTGACAATTGGACACGTGTCATTTCTTCTCTTCCATTAACAAAGAGTCTTTATACTTTTATTTTCCCCAAAGAGTCATCATTTTATTTAGATTTTAAAGTGATATGCACATAAAGCTCGATATTCGTCATATTTACAAAGTAGTATGTATTCTGATGAGTCATACAACTTGTGCAGCCCTTAATGACAAATGTGATTCAATATATTAGTCTGTTGCATTATCTTGTACTTCACATTGATTACCGTATTTTTTTCATGTATACTTCTGTTCGTATTCTATTCGTTATTGAGTTTTTTCGATTTTTTTATCTGAATGAAATACCTATGAGTAACGGTCTTATGAGAACACTAACATCTGGACAAGCGAATCAATTCTACTTTGAATAACAGAAAAGAATAAGTATTTTTGATTTAATCTTTAACTACGACAAGTGAGAAACGAAGAAAAAATGAATTTTATTTGGATTACTTTTGTCCTTATTGTTAATTTGAATTTCATTCAAATGGAACCAATTAAACAAGATGGTAAGTATTTTTTTCAGATGTCACACATGAAAAATGAAAGATATGAAAGTTTATTGTCTTTAATATTCTATTCTTTTATGAATATTACACAAAAAAAATTCTGATTTGATTGAGATTAAAAGAATTTTTTCTTAATATTTTATCTCTATAGTGGACTTCTCTAATATTCAGTTGTATGACTAGTCATAGTCGTAAAATTCGATTTTAGAGCAAGAGTTATACACACAAGATTTGTTTTCAGTTACCTGAGCATTTATTTTCTCATAAATAACGAAGAGAATAAAAAATTGAAGATTTTTTTTCCAAGTAAAAGATTTAAAACAGCACCTTCACATTCTGCAACGTTCTTATTCCAGAAACAAAAATGCTGATTAACTATAATCATGTTACTCGCACATGAAAAGGTAAGACTTCATGTAGAGACTCTCTTGTATTATTTAAGAAACTTGACTATTATATGTCGTTAGTACGCCTCATCCGCAATTGTGGACAATGTGCAATTTTTCATACAATATCTTGAAAATTCTAAAATAAATTTATGAATAATTGACAAGATATTTTGTATACTCCTTTCAAACTATAAATAAAATATTTTGTGACAGATTTATTGAACATGTTTCATGAGCAGCGAAATATTCTACCCTAAAAATATTTCAGATTAAAAGTTTTAATCGAACTCTTGCATGTCATATAGTCAAACGCAATTAATTTTGAGTATAATGCGTCAGAACAGACCGATTGTATAGTGTAATATGCGTCACAAGCTGTAAACTTTACAAAAATGAGTCAGTCACTTCGTTTGAATTTATAGCGTGCAGTAAATGTGAATTAAGTGATCGTTATGGACCAGATAATGGATACAATTGCCATCCCATAGGTGATACTGAGAATGTTGTTTGCACTTGTCCTGACAACTCATATCAAACTGATAAACGATGCAGTAAGTAAACTGATCAGTTAGTTATTCTTATCTTTTTCCGTAATATTGAATAATTTCTTCATGTAGGAATATGTGATGCAGAAAATATTTGCGGAAATCCGTCTATTGCGTGTGCTGAAACTGGCATATTTCCTGATGGTTCATTATTTGCTTGCTTTTGTTCAAACGGTCTTACATCATATGGAAAAGCATGTGATGGTAAGTTAATGAAATACGCAACTGCTAAATTTTGCTATAATATACCAATTTTTAAATTAGAGTCGTCGTTAATTACTACTGTCTCTCCACCAGAAGCTACTACAGCAACTACGCCGACGTCAACGACAACAACCGCCACTTCTATCAGTACAGCAATGGATCTTCCACAAAGAACGTCTGTGAAGAAATTAAAGAATATCTTTTTTTAAATTTTATTTAATTATCGTCTTTTATAATACATTCGATTTGATTCATTGAATTGAAAAATATGCACAATAGAGAACTGTTCATTAACTATTTCTTGAAGAAGAGCAAATAATGAATAATCGAAATTTCAACGTACAGATATCTGAAGGATACATTCAAAAAAATTTTCCTGAACCAATAATTGAACACAATGTATGAGAATGAAAAGTAAAGAGAATGTACAAATATATCTACATAAAACGAAATGATAGTGCATGTAGTATAACTGCTCTCATCTTTGTTCAATTATCACCATAAAAAAAGATAGTAAGTGTTAAAGTTATACTCTAAACAAATACGACTTCTAGGAAGACACAAGTCGGATCCCAAAAGCCATATTTTAGTGTCTCCTTTGAAGACACATGATGCGACCTTACCTAGAAGTCACCTTATAGCGTCGTTGCTCTAGTCGCATTAAAGACATGTAAGTCGGATCTCATTTAGTCGCATCTTGGCATCTTTTTTGAAGTCGCTTTGATGTGTCTTCTGGAAAAAACGTATTAAAAATCTTTTTGTTCTTGTCAAGAATTGAACTCGGGCTGTTCGCTTACAAGACGAATGTGTTCACCACTGAACTATACAAGCAGATTATTTATTAGTCCCATTAGTCTCTTACATTGACATTTCGCGTGAGACTTCGATAAAAAGCCTAGAGACACATAGGAGGCGGGAAGATGTGGCTACGAAGTATCTTTCGCGTTCAAATGTCTTCCATGCGACTCCAATGTGACTTGTATATGCCTACCAGTAGACATATTGAAGACGTGTAGAAGGTACCTATTATTTTGAAGACGCAATCTAGTCACATACAAGACACTTTTTCTCGATACACACATCGCTGAAGTCGCCTTTTTTTTCTACAGAGTGTAGACATAGTTGGGACCAAGGTTTTTAGTCTCAGTTCTAGTCCACCAAAAAAAAACGAAAAATTCCTCGTAAATCATGAAATAAGCACTGCGCTAATGGCAGAACGTTCAGAAACTTGCAAATGCATGATGTAGATTGTGATTATTACAGAGTGAACTGCATACTTGTGTAACATCATTCTAGACTTTCATTCCTTGTTCAACTTGTTTTAACCGAAATTTATTATGCTGGTTGAGAGCTTAGTGGTTTTAATACAGTTTTCATGAAATAGTAAACAGACTGGATATAAAGATCGGTCTCTAGGAAAAAACCACAGACTTCTTCACGATTTTCTAAAAAGGTTTCATTTAACTATGGAGAAATGGTAAATTTTTAGCTGTTCTCATAGAATCATCCAGAAAACCCTTAGTCTCTATCCTGATCTCGATCAAAGTCTCGACGTTAATGCCTAGTTAAGACGCATTATGATCTGTAACTTGGTTTCCCCTAAGACAACCTTTCGTCAAATAATTAGCTTATGTTCTATGACGGGATCAATAATAATACTGATTCTTTGGACATCTTTTGAGAAACGCTATTAACCACTACGATGACTGTTACTTCAGTTACGAGTACGAGCATGTCTCCTGAAGGCACGAGTATGATCATGTCATCAGTACAAACATCAGTAGAAAATCTGGAAAATACTACGATAATAGACACAACCACAATTCATCCTTGCTCTCTACCAGTAACAGAATCTACTGCTGGTGGACCAACTACAGACGGAGGACGAGGTTCAAAGGCAGCATCAGTAAGCATCACTTGTACTTCTCGAACATAAAAATGTCTGACGTCTGCTGTTGATTCTAGGTAAAACATCGATCAATATATCAGCTTTTCTTCGTAATCATGCTATTCTCATTCTACACATCAACAATTTATTATTGATCATACAACTGTAACCACCGTCAAATGTAATATTTATTTTTTAAAAAGTTTATCTTCGCGCGTTGAACAGTAATGTTATATAACAAAAAAAGAGTACAATTAAGCCAAAACTCCTCTTTAATTTTCTCGTATAGATCTAGATCTATCATTCTGTAAATGTGAAGTAGATAGAAAAAGCAAATCTTTTTCTTTTCTGTTTTATATCGATTCCAAAGCTACAATAAAGTAACAACCAAAATAGATAAACGAAGTTAAATAATAACTATTCATACTATGCATAGATAAAAGAAAGGACAAAGTTTATTACTGTAATTCTTACAGCTAGTCACCAATTGGATAACACGATTTTAACTAATTGAAGGTAACTGAAAATCGCATATAGTAACTTGTTTTTTCATGAAGGAAGCATTTCTCAGAGTTGAACATAGAGACAATATTATGTAAAATTTAATTTTCAACATTTGTTCCTCTCGATACACATTTAGGACAAGCTTCCTTCACGATGAAAATACGATATTATCTGTTATTATTGGTTTTCCACTATAAAGGAAGTGTTTTGGTTAGGCAGTTACATTAGTTGTTCTGGCCAAGAAAGAACCGCATCGAAAACGGCCCATCTGACTGCGCAAGTTTTATCACATAATTGGAACTATAAGAAGCGCAGTTTTCAAAAGGTTTTTCGCTGAGGGAATTTGCCTCGAACTGTGCTCTAGTGACGTTTTTTCTCAAGTGCGTACCTGAAGAAACTCATGCCTAATCAATCTCTTGCTTTGTAAAAAAGCTTTTGGCTCGTTACGCTTGGTTCCACCGTGTTCTACTCAGGCTTTTCTTCGAGAGCATAGTGCAATCAATTCATACTGCTTCTATTAACCTAATGATACTTCCATCATGTCATAATTTGTATGCGAAAGACTAGTCCGTATCAATACAGAGTCAGGAAAAGCGCACATAATTGCGACCGACTATTCTCCTACTGTACACAACACTCCCTAGTGTCCATAGTCACAATATTGAATTATATTAAGCTGTAAAGTTTTCTATTCAGAAGCGATTTCTTGCTCCAATGAACTAAGTTTCACTATGTTTCTCAGCTCTGACGTGACATATGATTGGTGACGATCTTAAATTAAAGGTAAAGAAGACGGATATCTTTTGGTTTATTCATTTGTGAGCTATAGGAATAAAATTACGTTTGTCATATGTGAAGCATCTAGCATTCACGCTTGATCTTTCAGAAAATGCATACCCGTGAATATTATCACTAAGATCAGTTCGTTATTAGAACCATTCTAGCATTATGTGAATGAGATGGAATGGCTGTGTCTCAATTCTCTGTGAGTTAAGCAGAACCGAACTGTCCTTGACTGCATCCTGAAAGTCACTAATGGCAAAGCGATCTTACACCGAAGATGCTCACATTTGTGAGGACATTAGCCATTGAGATATTTTCTCACTTCTGTGCATTTTTATTTTATGATCTTGCACAATCACTGTGTCTAGCTGAACTGAATCTGTGCATATAAACGGATGCGTCCGTTCAACTACAGAAAGACAGAAAAAATGATAATACGAAGAAACAAAATGCGTGGAAAAATGGGTATTGACAGTCTGATCAACACCGAATATTTCACAAACTTTTTGTTGAAAGGACCCTGCCGGTTTTCAAAATTATGTTGAAGCAGAAAGCTATATATCAGGTTTTGTAGAGCTTCTCGCGACGGATCTATATCTGTATTGGGTTTGGGTTAATACCTTCTGATTACCGAGATAT